ATACATTATTTTATATCATTTAAATTATATGTGTATTTCAAATGTTAAAGAAATTTTTTTTTTTTAGCCTCTTCCAGTGAACTCCCAGATAAATTATCTTGACAGAGCTATGGTATCAATCGAAGCACAGGTAGTGATTGATTAAACTATGTCAAAATACACTAACATGTGAATAATTTTTATCTTTTATAATGTATTGCTTTTGCCTTACATGAAAGACTTACAAAGATTTTGAGCTATTTTGCAGGGATGATATTTTGTTACACACTAGAGACATTTTTATAGATCTCAGGGCAATAAAAGAATTATTGTGCAATGACATGATTGCAAATGACCATGTTGACGCTCAAGCCATGATTTTGGACAGAAAGAGGAATGCCTCTCCATTCTTTTTTAGGCCTTAAATTTATGTATCGACATTATACTGGGTAATCATTGATTAATTGTATTTAAAATTTAAATAACTATATGAATATATTATAAGTTTGTAATCTTATGTAGAGTTATCATAAAATATGTAACACTACAAGATTTGTGAGTCATATCCCGAAGGAAGCAGTTAAAGAAGCTGATATTATTATGATTCATGTTTTGACCAACCAACATTGGGTGTTGTTGGTTGCGGATTTAGAGGAGAAGAAGTGGAGAATTTATGATTCATTACCCAACCAGATGCATAAAAACGTGTGCAAGGACGTTGTAAGTATACTATCAGTCGTTAAATGTATACCCATGCAATTTCACCAGTTTAGTCCATGCATTGATAAGTATTAAACTTTGCAGATAAAGAGGTTTGCAATAGATGCTGAAGGTTCTTTTAGGGCAAAACCTAGAACCTGACAACTCTCAATAGTTAAACATGTTCCAGTACATACCAATAGTATTGATTGTGGGATGTTTGTCTGCAAATTTATGAAAAAAATTAAGAAAGAGCTATAGAAGTGATTGGAGTGAAGACCGGGATTGACAGGTAGAGATGCCGAGATTTAGGGCAGACCTTGCTCATGAAATTTGTTTGTGGATATTGTCTGTGAGAAAATATAGTTAATTACACTATTTATTATTATTAAAATTTATTTGGCTTATTATTAGAATGTTTATCATATGCACTTATTTCATTCTGGTTGTTTTTATTAATAGAGCTGTTATTTTCCCTCTGCAAGAATGTTGTCGTCGTATTCTTGTAATATTATAGTAATATTATGGTTGTATTCTCATTCCTGATGTTTTTTATGTCATGGATGTTATTTTACTATGTTATCGTCATATTCTTGTAATATTATAGTAATATTATGGTTGTATTCTCATCCCTGATATTTTTGATACCATGACTATTTTTTATTGTGTTATCGTCGGAACAACCAAGATACTACCGCGGAGTGGAGAATATAGTAAATGAATATTCCAATCAAATCGGGATAATGTAAAAGTGTATTATTTGTATTGACTTTAACAATCCAGTGTCTGTCTGTGTGTTCACTATTTAAGTTTCTAATATAAAATTCAAAATCTTCGGTAGCTGAGCACTCCACAGTAAGTCCACACAAACCATGTAGCAACTCTTCTTCAAATTATGAATATAACTTCCTTGTATAAACTAAAACACCTTGCCTCAACACGGGACTACTTTTTACATCGGGAATAATTTAAGACTTTTCACATTTAAAATCTTCATCATTCTCACTCCTTTACCAAGATTTCATAACCTTTTCAAGACCTAAGAAACTTTCAGTGAGGGTGTTTGTGGCTTGGAGGCACCATGACAGATGTTATTCATGGACTCACTTCTTTGCGTTGAAAGGATCCCCATCTCAAATATGTCATTAATGAAGGTTGTTGACCACTTATGTCTAATATTGTACAAACTATTCAACCAAACATTGTCATGTAGATTTTCTAAGTCAATCATTGTACGTCATGTTTCTTCAAACTCCTCCTCGGAGTTGCATCTGCCCAGACATTTTAAAAAAAGCTCATTGACTCTCTTAGTGCTCACACCACAATGAACTTTTAAAGACAATTTCTAGTAAATATGTCATTGACATAATCTATGTCTGGTGTGCGGAAGACACTCTTTAATGGCTCTAGCCATTGCTTGATCATGACCAGTGAATATTGATTCAGATGCTTGTTATCCATTATCCGAATAAATGATTTAAATAACCACTTGAATGAGTCAACTATTTCATCTGACAAAAAGCCAACTCTAAATAGAACATTCTGTCAGTGGTGGTTCACACCGATAATAGGAGCACAACATAAATTGTATTTATTTAGTCTATAACTTGTATCAAATATTATGACATCCTCAAAGCAATCGTAATCGAGCCTGGATATCCCATCACTCCAAAAGAAATTCAACAAATTACCGGACACATCAATCTAGACGTCTCATGCAAACATTGTATCCTCAACTTGCCTCTCAGTGAACAATCGTAGAAGAGAATTAGTGTATTCATGTTCAATTTTAACTTTTCGATCTCTTTGTATGAAATTATAAGCATCCCTCTTCGTGCAATCAAGATTTTTCACACCCCCAAATTCTGTAGCCAGAAAACTAAATGCATGGCTTGTTCTAATCCCTGATTGTGTCATAGATCTAAGCACTTATGCATGATATCACTCATCTTTCTGTTGGAACGCAATAGATGTTTGTCACCGTCCGCCGTCAAATGATGGTTATGACTCTCTATAAATTTCTTAACCGACAAGGTATCTTCGACATCAACGACATATCAGATCATGGCTGGACAACCAGTCCTTGTGTCCCCTCTTCTGTACTTCACTGTCACATTGTTATTCAATTCTTTCTTGAAACCAGCATTACCACAAATGAAATCCTTTGTCTTAATCTTTTTTTTTTAATTTGGCCAAAAACCAACATGGTCTTTCCGCATAGTAAATCCAATTTGGTGTGCATATGCACAATATTGTTCATAGACTTCTTTCTCATTATGAACTACTGTGCGAAGCAAACTTTCCGCAATTGGATTAATGCACACAGTTACAGACTAGGGGAAATGCAAATTTTAATATATCACCATTAGATTGACAAAAATAACACCTACACAAAACAAATTAACAAATCCAATAAGACTAGTCTGAAAAGATACAGAAATAATACCATAATACATAATACCACAATAATAATATAAAAATAATATCATAATAACATAAATGTAGTTCAAAGCCAATAATACACCAATAATATAATAATACAACCATTATAACACAAAAATAACACTAAAATAACACTATATTCAATGACAACATAACATCATGAAAATACCAAAACATATGAAATATATTATGGTTGTATTATGACATTATAATAACACAAATGTACCGTTCAAAACGACTGTGTTATTTTAGTATTATTATGGTATTATTATGATAATATTAAGATAATGTAAGTGATTTTGTCATTCTAGTGATATTTTATTGTTATTATGGTTATATTTTGATTCTAAACCCTTAATCTAAATATCATGATAATACCTAGCTAACATCACGTCCATCCTCTAACATAAAAGTAATATTGCAATCAAATCATATCAAACCAGAATAACTCCGCACCAGTAAATAGAAAGTAATAAGTTCATCTGCGGAATGTTTCAGGTCTCAGCTAATAAGCTCAGCTCATTGGCATTATTCACGCAATCATTTTGTGATTCCATCAGCATTTTTTGGTCGAGAGAGAAATCCATCGGAAGAACGCTAACTGTCAAATACGATTTCGAATACGAACATAAATGGAAAAATAAAATATTTCCTAAACCCTGAAAGGAATTAAAGCTGAATATGTACGATTGACAAGATCCAAAATGTCAAAATATACGATTTGACGGGATCAAAAAGTGACAAATAGACGCTTTTTGGATATTGGGCGGGGCTCGCACCGAGTCGCGCTGTAAAAACAATTTTCCGCTTATTTTTTTGTTGGTTTGCCCATATAATCCTACTATCGTTTTTTTATTCGCTACCGCAGGTAACCTCGCGTGCGGTCTCCGGACTGAATAATTCTTCCTGACATGAATATCATGACACAGATGTCGATACATATTTTTTTTAGCAAAACGTTCAAACTTTAATTAAAAGTCATCAAGAGCTCCAATTTTAGCAAACATATAGTCAAACCGACTAACTCGACAAGACTAACCCAATAACACCAAAATTGGTTCAATCCAAACCAAATCAAACCACAATCAAACCATTAAATAGTTTTTGAAATCTTTTTGGACATTTTTGGAAGATCACATAAATGCTGAATCGAGTGAGTTTATAATCAAATCGAATATCATAATAAGACAAATCCAACGGGCCAAAGATCACTCCATTCAAATTTCGTTATGACACTCAAATGTCCATCAAACTCCGTCTGATCAAGAGAATCTTTCTGGGTCATCCGATCAAGAGAATTTTTTTGGGCCATCCGATCAGAGTGGTTCAAATTCTCTCGTTCATTGTAGTCGGGACTCTAAATTGAACCCTACCTCTCTCATGAAAAGAGAAAGATAGTTTGAAGTTTGAGGAAGGGCTGAAGTCTAACACCACTCATGCAGTCGATGATGGTCTTCGACCACAACCGACCATAGTCGACCACCACCTGACGGTCGTTGTCAATTGCTATCCGTCGCCATCCGTTATTTGAAACAAATTTATTCACATGTTGACATTGTAATTTAGGAGATTTTGTAAATATTTTCAGCTTATAGAACAAGTGATTGCAATTATAATCATTATTTTATATTGAAAGTCTTATGCTGAGCCAAACCTCGAGATTTTTTTCTTTACGAATTTTCTACATAAAAATTTCTAGTGTCATTATTAGTTATTTTATTTTTTCGGAATATGTGTTGTATTCTCTTGCAATACTAAAATGATAATCCATTACTCTATGGCTGAAAATCTTCGAACATACATCTAAGCAATAATGCAATTATTTTTAACCTTTAATAAGTATGTTTACATATTTAATTTTGATGATTTTCACGGAAAGTAAATATGTGGGAAAAGTGAAGCGGCATATTAGGGTTCAGCGTACAGTAACAGTTTCCAGCAGCTACGAGAAGCGACGAAAGCAATGGAAGCCGGGGAAATGGAGGCGGAGCCGGCGATTGTAAAGACAGCCCACGATGCGCTAGATGAGATTTGTAGAGCGGTGGAGGAGATCGCGGCGAAGATTCTCCTAATCAAGAAGGAAGGCAGGCCCAAATCTGAGCTCCGAGAACTCAACACCCAAATGGCCCTCTTGTTCATCACCCTCCGTCAGGTTAGGGTTTGTTCTCAATTTTCTGAATCTGTTTTCTGCAACTTTCTTATGGCATTGTTTGTTTATGTTTTACTTGCGGCAGTTTGGAGAATAATTTCACGGGCTGTTCTTTGAGGAAAAATTAATAGGTGCGGAATTCTCATTCATGCGGACTTCAGTACCACATGATTTATTTTTGTGCTGAAGTACTGATCAAGAAGTCGTCCGCACCTAATTGCTCGTTCTTTAAGCGCGAGCAGTCGAGATCTAGAGAAATAAAAATGTCGCCTCTTTTGTTCTTACTGCTCTTTCCAGCCCATGTAGATACTAATACTATTCTGCCACATGAACTCACCTTGGTCGATTTCAACAAATAAAAAAAAATGATTTTTATTAGACCATAATCTGAAGCCCTTCACACACACACACACACACACACACACACATACATACGATAGATAGATATTTCACGAAAGAATTGGCTTGTCAAGTAGCAATTAGCAAGATTGTGAAAACCAATCTAATAATATAAATATAAAAATATAAATAAATAAATGAATGAAATAGTTTTGAGTACATCTATAACAGAGCAATCAAACTCTCTATTCTCTTCATACGAGAAGCTAGCCTTATTCCTAAAATAATTTTTAATATTCTATATATATATATATATATATGTATTAGGTTCTATTTAACTACTCCTTTGTTTGAAGTTGAATCGAACCATATTGGTGGAAGAAGATCACATTAAAGCTGAAACAGAGAGTGCAAAGGCACCGGTGGACTTCACAACGTTGCAGCTTCATAATTTGATGTACGAGAAGAATCATTACTTGAAAGCCATAAAGACATGCAGAGATTTTAGATCAAAGTATCCTGATATAGAACTTGTCCCGGAAGAAGAGTTCTTCACAAATGCTCCAGAAGATATTAAAGCAAAAGTTTTGGCAAGTGAACCAGCTCATAATTTGATGCTGAAAAGATTGAATTACGAACTTTTTCAGGTATTTGATCTTTGTATTCTTAAACCTTTATAGTTATTTTATTATCTGTCTATCACACTAAGCAAACATCTTTGTTAATACTTTAGAACTTTCTCCTCCGTCAGATTAGCAGTTCCTTAACTTTTTTCTAGCATAAAATTCTTGAAGCAATCTAGTATTTCTGAATTAGATTTAGAGACCATTGACATTATTTACGTGCTAGTTATGTTAACCGAAATAAGTGTTTTTAAGAAATTTATTTCTTCTAAATGGAGGAAACTGCTATTTTCTCCTGTATTCTCTTATTCCCATATCCCTTACTTGCTTCTCTGTGTTCCCCATTTTATTGCAACTTCATATAATTGTAATAACAAATATGTCAGTCAAACAATAGGCATAGTACTTAATAATGATTATTGAGATATACACAGCTACTTGATTTTAGGAGATAGAGATATTGATTGGTTAACAAAAAGTGACTAAAGAATGAATGAATTTATGAAAGTAACAAAAAGCTCTTGCTATATGCCCATTTTTTTTGGATGTGGAATCCCAATTCTTTCTTGTTCATGTTTTGAGCAACTTCTTTGATTTTATTGTTGTGACAAATTGATTGCATGCAAGGAAGACGTTTTACATTGTTTAGGCTTATTTATGTTTTTTTTTTAATTAAGGCTTAAGATTCATTTTGTTTTCTAGATGAGCTATCATGTTGGATAGTCTTAATTTTAAATTTGAATATGATTTTGTCGTTGTAACACTAATTCCTTAAATATGTTGTGGTGTTTTGTAATTCAACTTCGGATCTAAATTGGATTGAAGAGATGCATTTTTAGCCTTCATTTTTGGTTTATCGATGTAACTGAGTCAAGTTGCTTATGAGCTGACTCGAGTTTAGATTGATAAATTACTCATAAGCTGAGCTCAATAACCAACAAATCAAGCTTGAGCTAGCCTCAACTCGAAACATTGGCTTATGAGCTAGTTCATTTAAAATATATTAATATAAACTACAGTTAAAATATGTTAGAGTTCAAGATTTTAAGTACAAAATTTCTAAAATATTCAAAAGTTATATTTCACTTTTTATTTTAGGTGTTATTATTATTTTTTTCTCTAAAAATTTAATTTTTATCATTTAATTATAATAAATATTTGAATGAAAATTATTTTATTTCTTTCCTTATAAGTAAACCATCTCATCAGCCAATTTAAATTTGTGGAATTAAACTCAAGCTCAAATTCAATTAATTAATCAAGCTCAAGTTCAACTTGAGGACAACTCAAATTTGGCTCGACTCATTACTCCCAATTGGGAATTCTCTCCCCTATAAGGTTTTTTCTTGCTTCATTCTTTTTTATGTCAGCGTCTTGTTTACTATGAGCCTTGCGTTCAAATGAGGATATCTCTTTTCCTCATTTGTCTCTCTTATACGTCAATAGCATAAGATAGCAAATGCTTTTGTCCACGGCACAATGTAATCATACATTTCAACAATACAAAATGTTGTGCGCCATGGTGCATGGCGATGCACAACACACCCTCGACTCCATCTGTATTGTGTGCCACAACACATCAAAATGGCACACAGACTATCTGTGTCATGCACACTATTCAACACATTATTTTGGTGCATTGATTTTATTATGAAGTTTAATAGTTTAGCAATTTCAATGATTTTTAATTGCAACTCGATAGCAAAAAAAGCAGCAATATGAATTATGATCCCCTTAATGGTATATTTTATGTGCAATACAATATTTGCCTTGATTTGTAGATATAATTATCATGATGTTTTTGATCCTATCCATTTAAATGATATAGATGTTGCTAATGAGTGGTTTCCATGAAGAAAGAATGATGTGTTAGAATAAAAAATGAATAAGTTTTTGTTGATGAAGATTTGACATAGAATATTGTTACAAAGGCCACTGATATTTATGAAAGAAACTGTCGTAATCAAATGCTTTCTAAGGACAGAGAATAAATTTTTATCTAGGCTTAATATTATCAGAAGTGAAAATGGAGATAATGAGGGTGATTAAGATGATTATGATTTAAGAAAAAATGAAGATGTTGATAAAGGAAATGTGGTTTTTTTTGTCTTATTATGGTTATTATTTTTTTTATGAGTACTTTCATATTTTATGAAAATATTAGACTTGCAAAAAATTTAATATATATTAAATAACTATTTTTGTTGTTTTTATTACCATGATATATTATCTTTTAATTTAGTAATATTTTATTTATTTTTAATTTTTTAATATTTTGTGTCATGGTTAAAATGGAGTGCACTATGTTATGTGTTGTGTTATACCGAGGTCTTCTGTACTGTGGTGCACCATTCATCATTGACAAGTATAAATGTAATACACTTCTTTCTCTATTATTCTCATAGTGTCTTTTGTCTTCTTTCTAGTTTATTAAAAAGATTTTATGTTCTTTTAATTTAAATTTTATTTTAGATATTTTAGGAGTTCATTTTATCTAGCTTTTCATGATTCTCATAGTTCTTGGCTTGTGCTTTTTTAGCCTCCGCAAAGACATGATCGTTAATCTAAAAGTAGAGTTCATTGTTTTTTATTTAGAAGCCACTATCATTGTTGTCTAAATAAACTGCATTTGCCCTTATTAAGAGAAGCCACAATCACCATTATCTAGAAGATGCTGCGAGTTCATGTCATTTGTAAGCAGTGAGCTTGGGAGATTTTGATGCTAGAAGGAAGAAAGAGTATTCTAAACATGTAGAAGAAGCACACCAATAAAAACCCATAAGCCAACTAAAGAATCTCATTCATATTCCAATTTGCATGTTGTCTGTGCACTCCCTTTTCTAAACTATAGTGATTTATTTTCTTTCTTTCTTTCTTGTATTTTTTTTTTGCATTTTTTTTTTCTTCGATATACTTGGATTTGTTGTTGGTTAATTGTTAGTTTTGGTATATCTAATCTGGTTTAATACTAGATATATTATCTTACTATATCATTATTGTTATTCTTGTTATGATATGTAGAGCTATCATCTAAATGTAAGTCATATTATTACATTCATTTAGCTAAATGAAATAGAAATGGCTTAATTTAGGTTCGAAACTAATTTGGAAACATTTGTATTGGTGCTGGAAAATAATAGAAGTTATGTTAAATATATTTTTTTTGTGGTAAAGTTACAAATGGAGAAATTTTTTGTCTCTTACAACATGCAGTTGGGAGTTATATAAATGCTAATATGGTAGTTGCCTTCATTATGTGAATGATAAAATTCAAAAGTCTATGGACAAGGAGCTAAAATTTTATTAGTGAAGTGTACATGATATTTAGAAAAGGTTACAAATACACACAACAATTTTTGTAATCTTTACAGAAGATCATTTTAAATATGATTGTTTGCTAATGGCTGGTTTTTGGGTATCTCGTAATGAAAATGAATTTAATATTCTTTTTATAATTTGTTAAGTGGAATCATATTTATAAAGTTAATTGATGCTATATTTTATGCAAATTATGGAATAAAATTTGTTCTAAGTCTTGAGTAAGTATCAAAGGATTGGACCATAGTGTTCTTCAAATTATAATTGATAATGTCTTAGAGAATATTTTGGTTGGTAAGTCACTGCATCACATCATATTACTTGTTTGGCAACTTTTATATATTTCTTGGTGAGCATTGTGTTTCTTTTTATAAGGAGGTTTTTGTATTTCATTTCATTTGCTGAATATTGTTTGGACTTGATCGTGGAAGATATTTTCAATATTCACAAATTAGGAGATGATTTAAGAGAAATATGGCTTTGCTTCTTTTCATTTATTCAAGGCCACAATTACTTGTTTTGTCATTGCTATTTTTATGTATGATGATTATTTTGAGGAAGATTATTTTAAGGATGATATATAAGGGACTTCTTAAAAAATATTTTTGCTGTTTTGAACCTCAGCTTCAATGTTAGCATTTTAACCTGATATTACGCATTGTTATAATCATGTTGTTTTATTTGCAAATGTAGTTTTTTATTTTTTATCTTGATAAATTATCTTACAATCTAACATCCTTTTATTAATCTTAATTATGTTAAAATTTATGTTCTATTTATATGGATATTTTTTAAAATATTTAATTATCAATAATTTGTAATAATTTTAATGTTTTACTCTAATTTTAAAATTTTGGGCTATTGCAATGTGTCATGTGCCCATTGCTTCACGATGCACTACCTTTTGTTGGCAAGTCTGGATTCTCCTCCGAAACCAGATTTATCTTTCATGTTGCTGTCTTATCTTGTCAAATTTCAGTGTCGTAGCTGTGATTCATCGTACAAGAAAGTTATTTACTAATAAAATTTCATTTCTGTCCACTTCAGTATTACAATGAAAGCTTATTCAGCTTACAAGCCATTACATTTTCTCCTCTTTTCACTCGCATCCCTATCAGCTTCACTGACCAGTCCCTCCAGGTCTCAAAGTTTCTCTTTTCAATGCGACCCTTTATGCCTCTGGCTAATTTCCTGATTCCAAACCGTCCAAGGCATGCCTCCTGATTTCTTTCAATGATTAGCCCACAACTTATTTTTGAAGAGCGCAAACCTCTTTTGTTTCCCCCTTTTCTAGTTCACGCTCAAGTCTTTCAACACCAAATTAACAATCAATGATAGATTTTATTTTCATCTATTACACTTTCTAGTTCACGCTCAAGTCTTTCTACACCAAATTAACAATCAATGATAGATTTTATTTTCATCTATTACACTAACATTTGCTATCGCTGTTTTCTTTTCTCTGCGCTAGCTCTATGTCTACCTTCCTATATTGTGCTTGCATCTCATTTCGTGCACTTCTCACAGCCACAAAACTCATATTTTGCATCTTATGATTGTAAGTTCTCGATGTTTATACTCTCTCCTACATCATGAAGAAGCTTCCGTGTAATATCCAGTTCACTTACTTTATATTTTGATGTTAGTATAATACTTTTTTTGCACAATTTGTTGATTTTGAGGCTTATACTTGAAAACTTTTTGAGGCTTAAGCCTATTTTTACGAATAGAAAACACCTCCATAGCCAATTGCATTATTTTAAAATATTATATCTTGGAATTGATTAAACAACGCGTTCTACTTTGCTTATTTAATTTATTTCTTTTTTCCTTCCAATTTCATGGTATAAATCTGCACATTGAATTATCTATTTTTTAATTTATTAATTGAAAATAAATTTATAATATTTTAAGGGCTTAGATGCTTTTCATATGTGAACTTCATTCATCACTGATTGCCTTCTGAAGCAGATTCAAAGAGACATGTCGCACTATGAGTTCTTAGCTTTGCATATGCAGAATTTCTTTATCATGATTTCTTTAATCCTTTCAAAATATCACTTTCTTAAAAATTTGATGATAAACTTAGTGTCCAAATATTTGTTCATTGGAACGAGGAAAGTGCCAACATAATCCCCTGACCGTTTACATGGAGCTATTTTAGTTTCAAGAGTTTATAAAAATGCCAAATTAATCCCCCCCAAGCTTTTTAAATTGGAGCTGAAATAATTTTTTATGGGTACTATCTTATCAGCTCATATTAAAAGATTATGTAGACTAAATTGACACTTTTATGGACTCCGAGATTAAAAATGACCCCTACAAAGAATTAGGAGACTATTTTGACACTTTTTCTTATCCGTGCTTATTATTTATGTCATTTCTTTACTTTATTATGATGCATGTAGTCTCTCCTCCGTAATAAGCAACATTGGTCTTTTTGAAGAGAAAAGAGTTGTGCAAGCTTCATGAGAAATTGGAGCTACACAAAAAAGGCCTCGTGGAGACCATAGGAAGCCGAAAAAAATTCCTTTCAAGCCTACCGTCACATCTGAAATCCTTGAAGAAGGCAACGTTACCTGTGCAGCAGCAGCTAGGAATTTTGCATACCAAGAAGCTAAAGCAGCATTATGCAGCTGAGTTACTTCCACCTCCTCTTTATATTGTCTACTCACAATTAATGGCTCAGAAGGAAGCTTTTGGTGAGAAGATTGAGATGGAGATCACGGGAAGTGTAAAAGATGCTCAAACTTTTTCTCAGCAGCAAGCAAGCAAGGAAAATGGTAATTTCTTGGTAGTGCGAGAGTTGTATGAATATGATTTTTGTTTCATTCACCCTTGAGATTACGAGATAACTTAAAGATGAAATAATTCACAAGAGAGGAACTAATTTACTAGTTTTTCATTTGGAATCACTTTTGATTTTTATTTATTGATTTATTTTGTTTTATGTATGTTTTGAATTAAAACAAAACATGTTTATTATAACTTAATTTGTTTGATTATTTTTAAAAATACTCAAAATAACTTTTAGATATTTTGAGTGTTTTTAAAAATAAAAACATTTAGAAAATGCAGTAAACAAGCATGTTTTTATATGCATAATTCTTCTGTATTTACATACCTAACACCCTAAACTTAAATTTTTATATATATGCCATCTTATTTATGCATGAAAAGGTGTATTTCGCTTTTTTTGAAGTTAAAATAGTGTAGTTTTAATGGGATATGAAAGTTTTGGGTGGCATAAATATAAAAAAACAAAATTTATGTGTTAGATATGTAAATGTATAAGAATTGGGTGGTATGTATGTAAATGCCCCAAAACAAAAAGCAAAAAATTAAAGTGATCCCAAACAAATTTTTAGTTTTTCTTATACGAACAGCTAATCCATTTGATGAATCTTTCAGAATTCCATGACAGCATGGTTGTGTGATTCAGGTACGCCGTCAAATATGGAAAACATTAGGTTGGAGGATGATGCACCTGATGAAGAGGATGATGTTCAGAGAAGAAGAAAGAGGCCAAAGAAGAACCTTCCTAAAGATAATGGCGATCAAGGAGGAATCCTCCAAACTCATCCTCTCAAAGTTATTGTCCGTGTTTTTGAAGATGAAGATCTTCAGGCTAAACCTCTGAAGCTGATGTCACTGAAGTTTGAGTATTTGATAAAGTTGAATGTTGTATGTGTTGGAGTTGAAGATCAAGAGCAACTTTCTGATGAAAATATTTTGTGCAATCTTTTTCCCAATGACACCGGCACTGAACTTCCTCATCAGGTTAGCCACCCCTCCTTTTTTCTCAATATTTATGGAGAAATTGGCTAAACCTATGTAACTGAATACTGGATTTTAACTGTCAAGTAGAATTGCTGAGGCCACAACATGCCTTATATAATCTCTAGGATAATTATCTTATATTTGCTGTTTATGGTTATGTTTTTTTGTACTTAAAAAAATTAAAATTTTTATTTATCATTGGTATAAATTGAAGTTTTCATGATTCAACAATATTTATGTTCTATTTTTTATGTTTTTATGTTCGAATGATAAATAAGTCTGCATAATTAAAAAAAATATATGTTATTAAATAATTTTAGTAGATTTATGCTTTATTATTATGATGAATTTTATTAAATTTTGTTAGGAGAATTAATTGGTGGTTGTTAATTAATAATTTTGTCACTTGCCTTAATTTTACTTGAATTTATTTGTTTACCATATACATGTAAGGCTCAAATGCTTGTTTGGTTGTGGGAGCTCTGTAGCCAAGCAAATTATTTATTTTTGGGGCATTTGCATGCATAACATCCAATTCCCATGTATTTACATATCTACCATTTAAACTTTACATTTTATATTTATGCCACCCAAATTTTTTCTTATCACATAAAAATATCATTATTTTAATTTTTAAGAAGTAAAGTACACTTTTTTCTCATCATTATTTTATAGATGCATGTACATATGTCAATACATATGAATTGAGTAATATGTATGTAACTCTTTATTTTATGCATGAGTTTATGCATGGGTGGTCAGTTGTGGAGTTTTGGGTCAAAAAATTTTCGTAGTTTCAAAGATCAATTTGAACTTCAAGCTGATTCATCTCTAGTTTTTTTTTTTTTCTTTTCGTGAAAGATTTAGGTACATATCACTCAATTCTTATGTATTTACATATCTAACACCTAAACAATTCTTATGTATTTACGTATCTAACCCCTAAACTTCAATTTTTAGATATACGCCACCTTACCCATGCATGAAATGCATATTTTACTTTTTTTTTAGGTTAAAATAGTGGCATTTTTTATGTGATATGATTTTTAAAATTGAAAATAAATGCAAATGGCATTTTCATTATTATAAAAACTTGTGCCTTCTCTTGTGACAACAATTTTGCATTTTTATGCAGACAGCTAAGCTATATGCCGGTGATTTTTTGTTCTTCGGTGATAGAAGTAGTTCTAGACCATATATGTGGGCGCAGCATTTAGCTGGAATGGATTTCTTGCCCGAGCTTCCTCCACTTCAACGACGCAGTGAGGATCTGAAATATGAACTGAGGAGTGCCAATATATCTTCTGGACTCTCTCTTTATCGACATGAAAACCGAGTTCAGACTGTTTTGCAAAGGATTCGCTCTCGAAAAAAGGCTCAATTGGCTCTTATGTGAGTCACTGCTCTTTTAGTTTTTAGTCCCGAGACATTAACACAAGCAAATGAACCACCCTTTTTTTTTTCTCAGATTTAGAGTGAGTATTAAAGCAGTTTACAGGGAGAGAGACCATCAACTATTGAATTTTTATGAAATTTTAGTTCATTTTAGATTGTGATTTTATAGATTTATATTGTTTTGACTGCCATGGTTTCTCATGAATTAGATTTTATGTAAATTTACGTACATACATTACAATTCTTATGTATTTACATATCTAACACCAAAAGTTTGATATTTAACACTTATAACAAGTTGGTGTCATAAGCTTATGCACTAAAAGGTGTATTTCACTTTTAAATTGCAGTAATCTTGGTACTTTTGTTGTGATGTTAAAGATTTGAGTGGTATGCATGTCAATATATTTATTTTTGTCCCCGCACATACACTCAAAAGGCCTGCGCAAGACGTATGCAAGACTTTGAACTTAGGACCTTTTGGGGCTAAAAAATAAAACTTTCAACTTTTAGGCCGAGGTGGCTTGCATGATTTACATGCAAATATGAATGTTTTAAGTGTTATATATGTAAATATATAACACTTATGTGGTATGTATGTAAAAGCCCCTATATTTTGGTGCGTTTATTTCATGCTTGTCATATTTGAAGGTTTGAGGTCCTTTTTTGGCTGCAGGGAGCAGCTCAATTTCTTGGTGAAGCTCAAATGGCCATCGCTGGATACCGAAAATGTCACCTGGGCTTCGCACACCCCTCTTTGTAGTTTGCAACAATGGTCGCCCGTAAAACATGTCGCCGACTCCTCGTTATCTTCTATTACTGCCGATAAAGTTGCAGCTTCTGCAGACCCCGAGCTGGACAGTAGATCAGCTCCTCCATGGGAAGTAGAGAGCGCAAGAGAAGATGGTGAACTTCCAATGGCTTTACCAGCTACAACTGTACTACTGGCAGATGACTCAAGCACAAAGATTTCCAATGAATCTTCTGACCTCGACATTTCTCGAAGCCTGACTTTGATTTCGAAGAACATCACGCCTCCAAAGATGCTCAAATCCTCGAGTTTCGGCCGGCATGAAGACGATGTGGATCTCATACTGGACTATGAGAGTGATGCGGACGAGAAAATGTGCGTCGAATCGGAAACTGAGATTATTGGTTTCATTGACGAACCATGGGTCGACCATGCTGCGAGTGAGTTCCATCTAGTTCTATGTAGACAGGATGGAGTGGAGCAGAAGATGAAGTTGGAAGCTACGGTATTTGCTGCTCTTTATCTTCTGTTTGTTCTGCTTTTATGCTTTTTAAAAAAAGGCAAAAAAAATTCGACTTTGAAATTTTCAGGTGAAGATCGGTATAGAATATCCTCTCAGAGCCCCGTTTTTTGGGCTGCGAATCTCATCGAATGGTTCTCAAGATAGCTTTGAATGCTACAATGAACTTCGTGCCATGGAGTCTGAGGTTTGTCATAATCGATCACTACGGATGAGTTTTCTTGCTATTAGATTTGTTTTCAGATCAGTGCAATTAGGTATGTAAGCGAGCTGAGTAGAGCTCGAGTCAGCATGAGCTTGATTAATTAATCGAGTTCAAGCTCAAAATCAAGGCTTAATTTTATGAATTTGAGCCGGCATGCTTATTGCCAAGGAGAGAAAATAAGAATTGAGCTTCTAAGAGAGAAATAATAAGAAATCAACTGATATAAAAAATAAAATATTATTTCTGAAATATTTTTAATAGTTTAAGAATAAATACTTGAATTTTAATATATTTTGATTGGCTCTTGAGCTAAAGAGTCGAGTCCAGGCTGGCTTGTCAGCTCATCGAACTCGGCTCACGGGTCACTTATTGAGTTGAGCCAATCACGAGTCTGCTTGGCTCTGCTAAGAACTTGATTTAATCGCTGAAAAACCATCTTGATCCTGCTTTTGAGATCTTACTAATCGTTTCCTTTCAGGTGAATTTTCATATTCTCAAAATATTACCGGTGGAGAGTGAAAATTACGTATTGGCTCACCAACTTCGTTGCTTGGCCATGCTTTTTGATTTGCATTTCGGTACAGGAAGTGAAAAAAGGAAGGGTAGTTCTGCTAATGATAATCTACCTGCAAGGCGTGCAAGGGGTAGGGATCGCAGAAGGATACTTTCTTGGGTAGGCATTGGATGTAATAATGAATATTCTTTGGGGCATTGATAATATGCACCACCCAATTCCTATGTGTTTACATATCTAACTTTTAAGCTTTATGTTTTTTTGCTTAATATATATTACTCAAGCAAAATCAAACATTAATAAAAAATATTTTAGCATAAATAAAAGTCCAATTATGGCAAATTTAAACAAAATCTAAAGCTCTTGCAAGCCTCATGCCACTACTACATAGAGATAACATCCCTCATAGTTATGTGATCAAATTTATATTTATTTTATGCTCTAAGAGTATCATATACAACTTGCATGGTCATGATTAAAATTGCTATGTCGAACAACACTCAATTATCAAATAAAATTATGAAAGAAGTAAAATGTGGCTCATTGATGGGGACTTTCATAGTTTCACTCTCAACTAATGGTGTAAACGAGTCGAGATGAGCTCAAGTTATCCTCGGCTTAAGCTTGACCTTGATTAATGCTCTCGAATTTGAGTATAAGTCTAAGAGTTTTAGCTGACTCACGAGTCAATTTTTATATTAAAAAAGACATAAAATAATATTGATTTAAGGTAGTGTTATTAATATTGATAAGTATAAAAAATAATTAGAAGATTGATATTAATAGAACACTTAATATAAATTAGAAAATATTATTATTTTTAAATATTTTTGATATTTTAAAGATAAAAACTTTAAATTTAATATATTTTGAGTACATTTTATATTAAAATTCTTCTAGATGTCCCTGCTCGCGAGCTAATGGGTTGAGTCGGGGCTAACTTGTGTTTCACTTGTTAGCTCATCGAGCTCAATTCACAAGTTACTTATGTAGTTGGTTCACTAACATCAAATTCACGAGCAACTTATCGAGTCGGTTCACTAATCAGCTAGACTCACTTAAACCCCTACTCAGCCTCTATGATTTTCACAACTTAATTTTAAATATACGCTGGCAATATAGGCCGATAGAAAAAAATATTAAGTTAATGTAGTGTTATTATAAAATGATAAATATAAAGATTAATTAAGAGATAAATAATAAGAAATCATTTAATATAAAATATAAAATATAAAATATTATTTTTTAATATTTTTTAATACTTTAAAGATAAAGTTTTCAAATTTGATCTATTTTGAGTATATTTTATAATAAAATTATTTTAAAGGTGCCCGCTCACGAGCTAATGCGTCGAGTCAGGGCTAACTTAAGCTTTTGCTTGTTAGCTCATGGAGCTCAATTCAGGAACCGCTTATCGAGCTGGCTCGCTATTTGGCTTGACTCACTTACATTCCTACTCGGCCACTATGATTTTCGCAACTTAATTATGAATATAGGCCCACAATTAGAGATATATCTCAACCAATTCGAAGTCAAACACAGGCACAACTCCTTCCTCCTCACAACCGACTCCCCATTATTCTGAAATCACATGTTCTGCTTTTATAATTCAAAGCATTACGGAAGAAATATTAAAAAAATAAAATAAAAAAATAAAATAAAAGGCTTTTCTGGAAGCATTCTGGCGTGCCAGCTGTCCGCTATAGTTGTAGTTGTACCAACCTTATCGTGAGCGATACCTTTAAATAAGAAGTGATCTTATCCTGTTGTCACGACCCCACTTATTGGGTCCAGAGCATAAAGTTGTACCCGCGGGATTTTGTAACCCATATTTTGTCGTTTTCTTAAAATGAAACCGCGCCTTCTTTTTCTTTTGCTATATTTGGCAATGGCAATGGGAGAAATAAATGTCGGCATATTTATTCGAAGCTGAAAATTCAAAGTACAATTATTGATTTTTTTTCCTAAAAAAGAAAGTGCAATTATTAAAATTACAAAGGACCAATGACTTGCATGCAATTCCCATGGTGGAATCAAATATAATATAAATAATTTTGGTTAGAATTGTTTTTTTTATAATTTAAATATTACTAATTTATTAATCATTTAATTATGAGAATAGTGTAATTAATCAAATAAAGTATAAGTTGTATTTATTTGACTAAAATTGAGTGTAATTATCTCAATACTTGCATACATATTGTGTTTCTTTTACATTTGTATGATTTAGTTGAGGTTTGTATGCTTTCTTGATGGTTCTAGTGTAGACATTTGATAAATATGCCTCATAATACTTGACAAGCAATTAAACGACCAAAGATGATAACCAAATCATAGAAGCGTCAGACTAAAATAACATGATCTAAACCAGCCATCCAATGAATCATCTGGCTTAACCTCGGCCGGAACGATCGCCATGCGATCGCTCGATCAAGTTGACTGACTCACAATATTGGCAGATCCAATCCAGGGACCACACTTACAGTTCTAGCTATCGAAGCTTCTTTCAAGGAATTCCGATCACAACTAGTGAATCAACTGACTTTACCTCGACAGGAGCAATCGCCACGCGGCTAGTCGCCCCTGTCAACCAAACTCAAATAGTCAATCCACTAACAACAGTTGTATTAAACTTAAATGACAACACAAACCTACTATTAAATGAGCACATTAATTGCTTTAAGGGTGGTTTCAATAACCGTTCCCTCTTTTATGTAATTGTATGAATACACCCATACATATAGGGGGAAAAACATGAATGAAGAATTTTTCCCCCATACTCCTCTTTTTAGAATTCTTCGTCTGCTCTACTCTCTCTTACTCTCCTTCTTCCATGCTCCAACTCTCGAGGCGTGTTTTATCTGTTGGGTTAATTAAAAAAGAAAATAGCTTAGCTAGAGCTAAATTACTATTACTCTACTTTAGATTTTAATTTCATTGCTTTTGTGAATAAAATTAATATTCTATTTAATTTTCTTTCCTACAAACTTAGATTTATAAAATCTTAACATGTAACTTTTGATAAGTTATAAAATGTATCATGATAGTTATATTAACATAGAAAAATAAATTTTTGTCAAATATTTTATATTACAGATATTTATATATTTAGATCATAAATATTTATATATTTTATATCATAGAAAAAGAGAGATTATACAGAGAGAAACTTAAACAATATAATAATCTACCTCATAAATCCTACTACTTGTTCTATATACTTAACTTTTAACATATTAGTTGATATTTATAGATGTAAATTATTATTTTTTTTTCCATGCAATAAAAATGCATGTGCGATGAATGAAAAATGAAAAAAAGTATGGGTGTTTCTTTAGCTTTACTCTATATGCATCTAAGCGGAGGTATAAAAGACTGATAGGCCTATATGATTATTATATTTATGTATGATATGCCTAAATAGATGTTGACAAGTTATGGTATACATGAAAGTTTGTATATAATATGAAAAAAATATTACATATATAGTAAATCGTATAGGCCTATTAGTCTGATTGTACACGTGGTGCATCGTAAATCATAAAGTTCTGATGCAAAACTGTATCATGACTCCAACCACAATGCACATACGGTCTGATTCTACTAAATTACAGAAGTATAAATAGTTTAATGCATGACGGGGTCTGACTGTACACGTGGTGCATCGTGATTGGAGTCCTGATGTTGTTTTGCATCAATACTCCTAATGCAATATATTTTTCGTATAATAGACTATGGAGGTATATGAATTAGTGTAAATATAGAAATTTTGAGAGATTAGCGGCAAATAAAAAATTTTAAATATTCTAAATGAAAAAAAAAAAAACAATATTTGTATTATGTACACAAATTTTCATTGTGACACTTGATAAACATTACATATAACATGATTTTGTATTATATTAATTTATATAAAATAAATCTTACTTTCTTTTTGTTATAGTATCTGTTAATTTAATGAATTGTTAACCCCTTAAATTTTTAGGTAGTAATTTTCATTTTAGCCCCACATTAATCTAAACATTGCACGACATTTTTCAAAATGTTAGATTATTATACTATTTTGTTAAGACAACTTGTTATTATTTGTCAAAGGTGGCTTCTATTTTCATGGTTAAGACTTTGCAATTAAATAAAAAATATAAGTTTATAACAACTTCTTAACGCCCTGACTGCTCATTTGCAATAAAAAAATGTGCAAATAATATTATGAATTTATGGTGTTATAATATGTTATATATGAAATTAATTTAAGCAAAAAGCGGAAGATTGGTATAGTATGTGCGCATGTTCATGTTCCACTCTTGTATTGTTTAAGCCCAAGTGTGAAACATTGACTAAATATCCATCTTTGGCTTAAAAATATTTAAGTAGCGCATGTTAGCTATGTTGACTTGTTAATTAAAAAAACTATGTAAAATGTTTAAGTATGTTTATGAGTTTAAAAGCAAGATGTGTTTATGATTTTATTTGTATATTTTATGGAGGTCTGAGGTCATCCTTTTGTGCTCATTTAAAAAAAAATCATCTCTATTTTACCTATTTTTTTTCTATTTATAACACTCAGAAATTTTTATATCTATTGAATTTGAGATTGTCTTCGGAATCACACCCAAATAATAGATCGTGGGACAAGAGGAAGAAAGAGGAATGCTCAAATGAGCAGTTAAATGAGGGAAGAATTGTGTTCCCCTATTAAAATAGGGCATGTACAAGTTTTTCTAGGTATTATACTCCTGTGATCGAGGGATTTACTGTTCTTAGACTCGGTCATCTGGGCCTATGAGATGAGACCATTGATACAGTCGGTCGTTCTGTTGGATAGGGACCATTGGTCGGTTGACTCTTCAGGTAAAAACAATTGACTGGATTTACGAAGATAGTCTGTTGAATTGATCAAGTCAGTTGATATTAGCCGACAGATGAACTGATTCGGTAGTCAGCCCTTAATTCTTGCAGAGGGAAGAGTTGAGTAAAACTAGACCATTAGAAAGAGGTTGCGTACCAAAACTCAACGGGTAGTTCACCCATTGGGAGGGAAGATCTTGTTGAAGGTGGTTGAGGCTTGTGACTCCATGATGTCCCAAGAGAACCCTTGGTTGTCTCTGGCATTAGGATGTCATTTGGGTGTGCATTGTTGAATCGGTTCTTGCAATCTTTGGCTGACGTAAGTCGGACTGTCTTCTGGGCTGTTGGGTCATCTTTGCCACATCATTTTTCTTAAATCGTTGGAATGCTTTGAGATTCCCACAAACACATTTATGTGTACAATATCACATAAAAAATCATCTTTTTAACTTCTAAAATATGAAATACACATTTTCATGCTTAGATAAGTTGGTATGTGTGTAAAGTTTGAAGTTTAGGTATCAGCTATATATGTAAATACAAAGGGATTGAGTGGTAATCATCTTTCTAAGAAAATTGCATTTATATATAGTCATGAATGTAGTTATATTTGTAAGTGTTTATGTTTAGATGCATGTGTGTGATTAGATTGCATATATTCATGTGGATGTAAGTACACATACCTGGTCACATGTACATTCTATAATTTATAAGATTTCAAGTAAATAGAATATATAAACAACTCATGTTTATCTCGATAAATTAACGTGTTGAATACAAAATTTTACTTATTTGCTTAATGAGGTGAGTCGTACAAAATATTAGCTTGTTCTAGCTTGAGTGACATGCTACCCTTTATAGAATGAACATTTGAAGAGAATCATGAAGATTTGGTGTGATCATGTGATTAATGATTCAAATCAAGCATAAATATGGAAGATATGTGGATGATAAAATTTTCATGATTTTTTGAGATTACAAAGTGTGGCACATTTAAAGTTATTTACTTTAATTGTTACTAATCAATTTAATCATTTTAATAAATTATTACTTAATTAAAAAAAAATTTAATTTAGGAGAGTCATTTTGCACCTCAATTTTTGTAATGAATGAACCCAATATTGTTATCAATAAAAAGGAAGATGATAATGACTATTCATGCCCATAATATTATGAGTATATTTTGATGATAACATATATATGATTGAATGCTTTAATAATTTAATATGTGATTATAAATTCAATAGAATGGAAGGCTTGCAATGATGAAATTGTTAAAATATGAGTCATGGTCAAGTGGCCACACAAAGTTTGAGATTATATGGATAATATACCTAAGATTAATATTAAGGATTTTATCTTTGCTCTTGTAATCTTTTTTATTACAATTTTATTTCTAAGAGTATGTAATTTTGAAATGTCTAATTTCGTGACTTCATAAAATACTTGTTGTTTGAAAATCCTCTAAAACTAATTTAGAACATTTTGGTAGTTATATACGAAAGTATAAGGGAATTAGTTTTTAAAATTCTTAAATTTAAGATAGTGCTCATAATTTTGACTATACATATAATTTTAATTTCACATATGATTATAAATTACATAATTGACACATTTTGCATATAATTTGATGAATAATATCAACTAGAGAATGGATGTTATAAAGTCACTTTAGCCATGATGATAGCTTTGAAAGTAAAATTTTTTCAACTTTTAGCTGACTAACGATATCTTGATCTTACATATGATTGACAAATTGCACATATGATCAAAATAAATTTCTAGATATTTTTATATGACAATACATACAATCAAATATCATATATAATCATCCAAAACTAAAATTCTTAGGTTATAACCAGCCAAGTTATTTTACAGTTTAATTATAGTCATTTTGAGGCCTTATAAACTAATGCAGGTTTCATAAATATTTCTTGGATTGAATCATTTGAGAGTTAGATAATTTCACTGATATATCCCTTCATTCTTCTTATTCAAACCTTTATTCTTCAAGATTTCAGTAATTAAAGTCACATCCTCGAGTAAAACTAGTGCATAAGCCATCAAGCTTCATAAGCAAGTGACATTGTTGAGGAGTCGTCCCTTTCTAATTGACTAAAGTGTTTTAAAAAGGTTGTTTTCATTTTTGAATTTGATTATCAAATTTTGGATTTGCTAAAAATCATGGAAAACTCTTTTGCTTTTCATTGTTATTGTAATTTTAGTATCATATGGCACTCACCTAAAAAGTTAGCGTGATGGTTTGACATTTTCTCTATTGATTTAAGGAGTGAAAGTGCTTGTCTATAGTGGCCAGAGAATTGTAAAATCTTAATTTAAGTGGAATTTATATGCTAATATATGCTAGTTGGGACAAACCATACAAAGTTATTTTGTTATTTCCGTAAATTAATTTTTTAAAGGTTATGATTATACTTCTTTTGACCTTTTAAGAAAAACTTGTTATCTTAATACAAACCCTAATGAAAGTTAAATAATTTCTAAAAGCATTAAGTGTGCCTTACATTTAGGGGGTTCCAATTTTATAGGCATTCTTAAATATACTACTAGGATTCCAACAATACAATGGAATTTTAAGAAATTAATTAATAAAGGCAATTTATGAAAGTCTTCATTTAGAGGGAAAAAAATCTAAACCATTGTTTTCAAGAGAAAAAAAGAATTACAGTACTATCATTAAAATTTAATTTTTATTTTGCTCGCAAAAGAGCTTCTAAAGGAAGAATCATCACAAGCAAGGGAGGGTATATTTGAGTTTTCTTTTAGTTTCTACATTTTTTTTAACAATTAAAAGAAGGACATCATAATACGAACATCTCCTAACTACAGTCCTCACCTGAGCAAGATCTTAAAGTTTGTTACCTTCAGTAGATTTTTCACTGTAATTACCACTTCATCCCCTTACTTATAAAAAGTATGGAGAAAAAATGATTGTTGAATAGTAAGGAGCCTCTTCTACTTAAGATTGGTGGTATGCATGAGAGAAGTGAAATAAATGTTGGAGGAACTCTAAGGAAGATGAGTTAAAGAAAGAGATTCACTACCAAGAGAGTTTGCCCAAATGCATGTGGAATAAGTAGGAATGGAAGGAAATAAATTTGGAAAAAAAAACTTTTATTGCAGGCTAAAGAAAAAAAAAGGATAAGATAGAAGATTTCTTTGGTATTTCAAAGTTCCCAAGAAGAGGGTCATACAAAGTAGAAGTTTGAACAAGCTTGAGATATGTTTCTAGGGTTTAGGAGGTGGAGATTTAATGAGTCAGAAGAAATTCCTATAGCAATTATTGTAGCAAACTTTGAGACAAAAGAGAACCTCTTACAAAGCTTGGTGTGTGGGAGATCCATCATCGTGGCTAGGAAAGAGACAACATGGCTAACCTATAGCATCTCAAAAGTACTTAAATTCTACTTTAGACAAATAAAAGCTTTAAGAGAATGCAAAAATCACGTTCTCAACTCCCACAAAAGGTTTTGATTATTGGAGAAAATTGATTGATTCATCCAATTGAATTTGTACAAAAAAATTTGTCAGCTTTAATCGTGAGGAGATCCGACGGTGTAGAAGAAAGAGAAACAAATGAGGGCTCGCCAACAAAAGATTTTGAAGCCTACTTTTTCGACCAAGTGCAACTGTCCAAGCCAAAGCTAATAAGGCTAAAACCTTCTGAACCGCGAGACAGACCAAAGAACAAAAAAGATATAAGAATGAGCCGATCCAGGGGAAATCCGATTCATTGACATCTCCAACCATCCTATAGGCATGCAGACTCCCCTCATCAGGGGTCAAGGATCGATAATATGGTCATATCAACCAACCAAACTTAGTCGATCGAGCTAATCCAATCCAGCTGAGTAGATCTCAACCGACCGAGACAGATCAAATTAAGCTTAGCCAGCAGATCAAAAGACCAATTCGACAATAACACTATACACGTAAATTACCAAGAATACCCTAGACAATCCTTTTTAAACATGGGCAAAAATGTAACACCATCTTATTGTACCTTCTTTCCTATAAATAAGGTGATCATTTTATAAATAAGAGACGATTGATAGTACATTTTACCATTCACTCCTCTTAATCTCTCTCCTTACTTTTACTCATTCTTTGGATGTGATTCGCACACAAATCATAATTCTTTAATTAATCCGGCTTTATATAAAAAAAAAAACCTCTCGGACAAATATTGAATCCACAAACTATCAATAATTTTCTTAAAACCTTATGTTTCTTTATATTATTCAAAATTTAGCCTAAGCATTACATTTTGTCTTTAAGTGCATTGATTCCTTGACTGCTTAAAATTTTCAGGAGCCTTAAAAAATGCGTTAGTTCATACGACGGTGAAAATTCTTTAAAATACACGAACAACCTTGCGTATATATGGTTAAATTTTATTTTACTTTTTAATATTTAAATATATTATTGTTATATATTACGTTTTTTTTTTTAATAATTAGTATATGCTCGCAGATTTCAACTCTGGATGTGGCCTGATTGAAGCTTCAAAATTTGAAACTCTCTCCAGTTCTTCAGATTCAACGTCACACATCATTATTAAACAATTTGTTCCCACAAAAATATATAGCCCCGTCCCCAACTCCATCCCGACACCTGTCGCCCATTCGCCGGAAACCATAAGAGGCGATAAAGCTAGCCCATAGCACCGTCCAGGTCTGTCCCTCTCTCCCTCTCTCTTAATTTTCTGTCATGCCTGTTGGACCATACTTGCGATTCCGGCTTCGATTATCCCCGAGATTTCAGCTCCGAGTGGATTTCTGGAGTTTTGACTGGGACTGTGATTGGAGTTTTGTTTAGGGTTTCGCCTGTCATCTCACCGTTAATTGATGCTCTCCAGGAAGCGAGGGATTGACGATTCGATCTTTGAAGTCGCTGGAGTTTTGAAGGAGGAGGCTGCAAGATGAATTTCAGGGGAGTGGGGGTCGATGGAAACGATGCCCGGCAGCAGCCAGGAGCTGCGCAGGCGCTTGCGCGGCAGTCGTCGGTTTACGCTCTGACCTTCGATGAGTTCCAGAGTTCGATGGGTGGTATAGGGAAGGACTTTGGTTCGATGAACATGGATGAGTTCCTGAAGAATATCTGGACGGCTGAGGAGAGTCAGGCCATGGCCGCAGCCCTCGGCGCATCCGACGGCGGCGTTGTTGGGGGTTCGGTTGGGCTTCAGCGCCAGGGTTCGATCACTCTGCCGAGAACTCTCAGTCAGAAAACCGTCGACGAGGTGTGGCGCGATGTTATCAACGAGAGTGGCGGTGGTGGCTCAGGGGCGGGCGCCGGCGGATCCGGATTCCAGCAGCATCAGCGGCAGCCGACCCTTGGCGAGATGACCCTCGAGGAGTTTCTGGTACGAGCCGGGGTTGTGAAGGAGGAGATCAACATGTCGACATCTAGACCGGCTGTTAACGGTATAGCTTCTTCTGGCAGCAACGTTTACTATGGAAACTTGTCGGCTTCAGGAACAAACAATACTGGGATCGCTCTCGGCTTTCCTCAGGCGGGTCAGGGTAATTTGGGCATCATGCCGGCCTCAATCCCTAGTAATTCTAGCGCTAATCTCCCCATGCCTGCCTCGGGCACAAGGCCGTACGCCCCTCAGCTTCCGTTGGGCAGTAATGTCAATCTTGGAAGTCCTAGGGCCGTGAGAGGGGGAGGACTTGTTGGCATTGGTGATCAGGTAATCAGCAATGGTTTGATCACCGGGGTGGTTGGTTTGGGGGTAGGAGGTGTCAACGTCGGTGCGTCGGTATCTCCGGTGCACCAGATTCCTTCTGACGAGCTTGCAAAAGGGAATGGAGATCTTTCTTCTTTGTCTCCTGTGCCATACGTTTTCAATGGGGGACTGAGGGGAAGGAAGTGCAGTGGAGCAGTGGAGAAGGTTGTGGAGAGGAGGCAGAAGAGGATGATAAAGAATAGAGAGTCTGCTGCAAGGTCTCGCGCTCGGAAGCAGGTTTTTTTTTTTTTTTTCCTTTTTCGTTCTTTTCTTCATAAGTTAGTTATTCAAATTAACTGATGATTGTATGCATGTGATTTACTGCATGTAAGTTGATCTGATTGCCGTGGATTCATTCTTCTGTACGTGTTTCTTCTCTGTTTCTTGTCGAATGTGCATGACTTCTGATAAAAAATTCGCTTTCTAAATAAACTTAACAGAAGGGATTTTTTCTAATTTTCCACGGATCACATCAGCATTTATATGAAATAATTTCCCATTTTATAGAGATTTTAGTACTTCCACGAAAGATTGACATCATCAATTCATAAGAACCAATAAAATCCCCAAAATTTTGGTATTCTATTTTGGGAGTGTTGTTTCACACTAACTATCCATATTTACTAAATTAGACGTAGTATTATTTTTTGTTTAAAAAACTAAAAATTGAGGAGTTAATGTGGGGAAATCAAAAGGGCAAAATATAGGAGATATGTTTAGAAATTTATCATTTAATCTTTCGGCCTCTACTATATTTTCTTAGGAATTGTTCCACAGCTGTGTATATTTTGGGAATTGTTTCAATTGTATTGTTCTCTTGCTGAAAACTATGATAGCTGAGATAGCTGATTTTTTTTCATTACCAAGCTTGTTGTTCCTTATGAAGTTGCATAGCTTTAGTTTTTCCTTTTCATTTTCAACAACTTAGTGTTTTGGTTGGAAGTAAGTGATTGTTATGAGCCAAATCTTATTACTTTCTCGGTGTAAGTTGGATTTATTTTGATCTTATTTATCTGCAAAGGAAATGCATGATTGATTATCATTGTTGACTTAGCCAAAGTAGATAATAGCATGCTGGCTTGTGGGATTTTAAATCAAGTTACTTGTAACAAAATAAATAATTAAATGGGGCATTTGCCAGCATAGCACACAGCCTTATGTATTTACATGTCTCACACAAAAACTTTCATATTTACACACATAGCACTTAAATTTTTAATATCACATAAAAAATGACAATTGCCACTTCTTAAAAGTGAATATACCTTTTCATGCTAGTTTTAGAACACCGAAGTGCTGTGAGAAAGTAAATATGCAAGTTTAGATGTGAGATATGTAAATGCATAAGAATTGTGTGCTATGTATGTAAATTTACGTAAATAAATAAATGAATAAAACTTGAGTAACTTGTGGCGATGAAATGCTTCACATCAGTGGGACTTGTAGTTTGCTCTTATTTCTCTATTTGGACTAGGCTTATACGATGGAGCTAGAGGCTGAAGTTGCTCAACTAAAGGAGCAAAACCAGGAACTTCAAAAGAAGCAGGTATTTTCCATTAGCCAACTATTGGTTAATCTAATTTCCAAATTTGATATGCATCTCAGTGATATATGTTCTTTAAAGAAACCCCACATTCTATAATCTTTAAATCTGGAATGGACCAACATATCTAATTTTTATTCCCATCACGGACTAACTTTTTTTTCCTCTTATTCAATATCATTGCTTTGAGATTGTTTTAATAACTCGGAATAATGATATTCTATTAAGTTCACCATTTAGGAGCAAGAAATTTTTGCCTCAGTACAAACAGTGCTTATAGAGAAAGTATAGATATTTCTGATGAACGAACATTTCATTCCTAGCATAGTTTAGGAAAATTATAATTCTTCTAATTTTTGCTTAGGTACTTAAGGCAAATGATGCTTGTTGCGCTTGGTCGACTCGGGTTTTGAGTTGAATTTGCATGACTCAGAATTGGCAATGATAATTTTGGTATACCGGTTGTATGGATTAAAAAATTTCCAATTACTTGCCTTTATTTTGTTTTTTATGCCTCTTAATGTGGAAACCACACTCAAATTTAAATAAAGCTTAAATGTAGTTGATGCTTTGTTTAAAATAAATATCATCTAAGTAGAAAGTTGAATGTATTTTAACTCTTTTTTAGCTTTGTGTATTACCTAATTTGTATGGATAAGAGCGTCATGGAAGCTTTGTAGATGTAAACCTCTTTGATTTTTTTCTCTTCTAAAAAAGAATGTTCTTATTTTTTTCTCTTCAAACGCCCTTATAGATGTAAACCTCCTTTATTTCTTCTTCTTTTTCTTGAATCTTCTTATCTTCTCTCTTTTAATGATATAAAATTGAGGAGATGAGGAATCTTGAAGAGAGGAATGAGAACAATGGCTGAACTATGATTTCTAGTGAGTGTGAGAGTGTTTATCTGAAATTTAAATGGGGAAAGCTTCTATAACATAGTTACATTTGATTTTCTTTAATCTAGGAGGGAGCCATCCCCATCTCTCATGGTTTTACCACTAGATGAAAAGAGTATCTTAGTCCTTGAAGAAGATTGGGAGAAAAAGGAGAATAGCATATTCTATTTTTGTAATAAAGAGAAAGATATTTAAATTAGTTTTCAAGGGGAGAGAGATAGTACGTGAGGAGAGAGTAAGGGGATTCAAATCATAGAATTCCCATGGATTGGAGAGAGGGGCTGCCTGTTAGGAGAGAAGAGTTGGAGGGAAACGAAGGAAATAATTAAATGCTTAGTTTCAGTTCATTATAATTAAAATAGTATCATCCTATCTTTTATTTAGAAACAGGGTTTATAAATAAATTCCAAACTAAATCTATCATCTAATTCTACTTTAAAACATGAGATCAAGAAGGATTTGAGTTTATTTGTTGCATCAACTCCATCACGACTAGAAAGCTTGCCTTTAGATAGCCTTATTTAATATTACTCTTCAAGTTGATTTGGCACAATCTTTATGAATTCTTAATTTGTGATCTAATAATTTCAGTAGGAGGTTAATTTTTTAAATTTTTAGGTATTTATCTACTTCCAAAGCACCTTTGGCAATTTCATCAATATATTTGTTCTATGTTGTGAACTTGTGTTGTAATTACATATAAAGCGAAGGATCAACATCATTATTTGCTTAGGTAGAAGATCCATGTGTACAAATACTGTGCAGGTGTAAAAGGCTCAAAGGTGCCTTGATATGATTTTCGATTTTTAACATTAGACTATAATGTTATTAAATTTGAGCTAGATTGATTGACTAGGAAGTTTCTTGCTTTTGTATTGATGTAGATTTTTTAAAAATTACAACCCAAGGATCATCAAGGATAGTATATATATATACACAGATGCATATATATATATATATATATATATATATATATATA